CTAACAAAAAAAAAAAAAAAAAAAAAAAACATATGAAATATATGCCAATTCTTAGATATCTCCGCGGAATTTTTCAGATGCCCAAACTTCATAATTTTCTCTTTGTAATTAATTTATTTTCTCGCAAATAAATAAAGTTAGTTAAAAACTAAATAATCACAACGTTGCTGATAAATAAAATTAAAGATTTATACAAGCGTTCCTTCTAAAAGTGTCCTTCTAAAACTTAAAAGATAATGTGACCTCTTTTTCAAAAGACTCCACATGGATATATTGTATGTTTTACGCTTGGATACCTAAGAGTTAAGAAAATTGCGGTCGAAGTTCAAGTATCGTGGGGACATTTTGTATAAAAAGAAGTACGGTAATATCGTGTAGTTTGCGTATATAATCGTCTCCCTTCCGCTGTGAAATACAAAAGAAATGATTCTCGTAAAAACAAGTGTAGGCAGGTACTGTATTATGTTTCGCTGGAATTCTTCTCCATCGCTGTCCCGCTAAATTTGCCCTCCGAGGGTTCGCGATTAACGTCGCCGAGTTCGCGGGTTTCGACGATCTCATCTAGAATACTTTCATGTGTTTCATGAGTTTCGATTTCCTCGAATTTCACGGAAAATCACTACTTTAAACATCGTTAGTTATGTAACTACTCTCTTCCCCGATAGGAATTTGGGGATCTTTGCGCTTCTCGACACTCGTTCCTTTCAGGAGAATTTTACGAAGGCTTCGAGTCCTATCGTGAATCTTGATATGTATACGACACGGTATACGTAATATCAAAAGCTCTTCATAACGAAATTACAAAGTGTACAAAGTGTACTCGAAATGTCCATCGCTGGACAAAAAATTTTTTCCGTTGGGAAACGATGTTGAAATAGGCCGATTGTTACAAATTGTACGTTTCGATTTTCCACATCGTTTTCGATACAAACCTTAACGCCATATAAAATAATTCGTGCAAATGTTAATGGGATTATCAGATTGCATTAATATGTGTAATTCGGTAATTCGATGTAGATTAATGGATTCTCTAAAATACAAATATTTCGAATGTATAAGTTTAAAAAAATGTCAATATAAAACAATTTTTATCGTTTAAATTTTTACGGGAGAGTACACTAAGTTTGTAGTAATGGATATGGAATAGTTCGATATTCTATAAGAGAAATATTGATATATCATAAAGTTAAAAATTTTATAGTTAATACACTGTTTCAAAGTAATAAAATTAGAAATAAAAGTTGAACATCGAATCGAGGCGTTTTACCCGTTTGTCCATCGATAACTCTGTCACTCTGTCGTAAAACTCCAATTGGAACGAGCGCAACACAATTGACAGTAATAAAGCGCACACGTTGATAATTCTTTCTATGTTTAGTCCTTAAGCACCGATCGTGATTAGAATAAACGACTCAAGTTGCAAATTTCGCCTAATCGCCACAAGATGGCTTTGCAAATGTTATACCGCGGCTCTTTGCAACATAGTACGACACACATTATATCGAATGCTGAGAAAATAAGTTTGTAAGAGAGATAGGGATACATCTGAACGTTAGAGGCCATATTTAAACAATTCAAGTAATTCACCGTAATAAAAAATTTTCAGTTCTTTGATTAAAAAACAAAATTCAAAAGCATTATTTTTCACAAACGTGAAAAATAAAGACGCTGAAAATCTTTTATCGCGAGATGTAACATTCAAATTGTTCAAAACTGTTGTACCGTTCAAATGCATCTCTTCCCACTCTACATCCGACAAACGGACGACTCTTACGTAAAGAGAAATCAAGACTCTATCTCTTGTTTTCTTTCCGCATAAAAGTCGCGCGATTATATATTGGTTGTCTTTAAACATGCTCCAGTGTGCACACAGCTTCAATAGCTTGTCTATACTGAAAATAATTTATCTCGCGCCTTCGTTGCGCCGTGTATCTCATCGCGCGCGTGAGTAGCTTCTTTTATCTCTTTCTTACACAGATGTCTCACCGACATCGCGCATCTCGTACAGAATATAAATGCATGAAGCTCTCTCTCTCTCTCTCCCCCCCTCCCTCCCCCGTTGTTCCTTAGGCGCTGATTTCCGTTTTGTGCGTGTGGTAATCAGGTAGACGTTCTGCCCCATCGAGGGAAGAAATGGAACCGGAAGAACGTGGCGGTTTACAAAAGGGCACAGGCGGTGCCGTGCATCACCTCGGAGATGAACATCGGCGTGCCGGCGCTGAGGCCGCCGTCGCCCTTCTCCTGCTCGTCCTTCTCGTAGTCGCAATCGAAGTAATGACTCTGCAACAGAACGCGTTTCATGATGAAACGCAATGCGGCTCGCGTATTTTAAAATTTAAAACTCGACTTTATACAAGCCCGGAAAATAAAATTTCTATTTTGATCAATCTAAATTTCAATTTCAATTTCTCTCTCTCGCTTTTCCTCTCTCAATATCCGTTTTAGAATAAAAAAAAAATTTTCTATATTTCTGTCTATTTTATCATCGAATTTCAAATCGGTATAATTCTAATATTTGAAATATGTATCTGTTCGAAATTGAACAGCGGAGAGTCGGCCTTACAAACGTACCTGGCAATCCAAACATCTGCAGTGATCGCTCATTTTGCAAGTTATGCCCCATTGCTTGGCCATCGCCTTGTAGAACTCTTTGCTCGATTTGTGAAGAATCTTCGGTCCCTTGGCCGCTTTTCTGTCCCCACCCCCGGGACCACCACTGCCGTCGTCACCCGCATCATCGCCTTCGGCTTCCTCCGTACTCTTTTCATTACTGGAAATATGCTTCTCCTTGTCCCCCTCCTTCGCCTCTCGTAGCGCGATAGCCGACGATTCCATTCGTGTCTAAAAAATGCAACGTTTTTATCGTTAAAATAAAGATTGCAAAATAACGGAGATAGCGAAGTAAGACTAAAGTAGACTTAGGAATAATAAACTTAGAGTTGAGATGCGGAAATTACTCGTTAACGAGAAATTACAAAGAGACAAATCTGTAGTACTTTGACAACACCGTGCCGCCGGTGATCGCTACAGGCTGTACGCACAATGCGACCGTTTGTCATTGTTGCGATGCACAATGTGGCGCGAATTATCACACGCGGCAACATGGTCCACGTGTATCTCGTTAATCTAGCACGTTACATTTTCCATCAACGAGTTGACGTGGATATCAACCTCGGGGCGCTCCGACTCGTATTTATTGCGTTCCACGATATTCGACGCCGTGTAGAATTAATCGAGTATATATTGCTACGCGTAATCGAACGGAATCGAACGTGGACCGCGCGGCAAACAAATCTCGGCCGAACGTGGTCCAATATGGTCGGCTGTGTCATTTTTGCATCCGTCCGTACTCGGTACTCGGAGTAATAGAGGTCGAGAAACGATCGATTAAAAATCTTCTTTCCGAGATACGACGAGGCACTCACCTCTTCGAGAACGTGCTCGTACGAGGGCGGAGGCGAGCTGGGAATCGTCTGCTCGTTCCTAACCGACAAACAATTCTTGTCCGTTTCCGCCTCGGGTGCATCCGCAAACTCGTCTGTGCCCGACGGCAACGACTGATTAATTTGCCGTTGCTGTTCCTCGGATTCCACGCTGTTGCTGCGACTATCGCCGGAGCTGCGCGATTTCAGCATCTTTGACAAACGGAGTTTGAACGGCGCCAGCTTGACGAATTTCTTCGTTCTCGTGGCCTGCGGAAAGGATGGAGATCGTATTTTCATTTTGCGGAACAATCGCGAGATGGGTTTTTCATCGAGAAGCCATTTCCGTAAATGACGGGCGTATCCGAGGATTCACGCGGGTATAAAGTAGAGTACTCGTACTTTATTCCGTAGCCAACTTTTAAAGTAATGACCGTGCAACTCTGAATATTCAAGGGTTAATAAGGATAAGGTAAAGGAAAAAAAAGAACACGAGATATGCGTATAAAAGAAGCCTATAATGAAATGGGCATGAGAGATTCGATAAACACATAGAAAAAAAAAGTGTCTTTTTTGAAGAGCAAAGGCGAACACGACGATGGCGATATGGAAATAAAAATTTATTTCTTTTTTTATCGATAACAATTAAAAATTTTTTCGTTCGAAATACTCGATTCGGAACACGAGAGAACTTTACTCTATACCCGCGAGATCACGCAACTGCATCGGATGCATCTGTCGTTGACCTACTGACCGAGTTTGCGGATATTGGCGGTACCGCCGCCACTCTCGACTTGGTGCATTTGCGGCCGACTTTACAGACGCGAAGCTTACCCCGCCCTTAAGCTCCTTCCAGAAAGGAGAAGAGGTCGGCGGAATCGAGGACAAGCCCGAACGATGATTCTGACACGTTGTGTCGCTCGGTATTATCATTTCGATTCGATGCGCCGCGCGAAAATAATATTTGCCGTCGTCGTCGTTAGTTTTCTGCTTCAAATAATAAAATATAGGACACATCAGCCGTATGTATTATCATTCAAATGTCGTTGTTAATATTGCTACGTGTGTGCTTTAGCGTTCAATCTAGCTCGATGGAAACGATTACTTAATTAACTGAATTTCATTACTGAGCGTGATGGATGGAGAGTAACAAAATTTCGTGTTTCGTGCTTTCGGGGCAAACACCGAAGATTGGTGTGCCTTCGGTGTCCTCATCGTTACGCTGCCGTAAAAAACGACTAGATAAATCGATCGAAGCTAAACAAAGACCGAGCCAGAAGATCATCTTGATCGACTATCGCGTCTCTTCCGCAGTGTGGAGTGGAGTAAGTCCTACTTATGGTCAAACCTTCTGCCGACGTCCAAATTGTGTCACCGGATCTTTGCGGTTGACAAAGTCAGGAACAGTCGTGCGGGCGGTTTTCCGATACGTATTCCCAAGTGGAACAGACCTATTTGAGAGCAGACGTCGCGTTGCGATCCCCGTGCAAATTGCAGCTGTCGTTGGAACTTGGCGAGTGACGCGAAGATTACGGCGAAGTTCGGACAACGTTCGTTCTCTCAGCGATGGAATTGCATCTTCCAAAATTACTCTCTTTCTCCCGCTATGTTACACGCGGGAATAACATAAAGCTAGCGTTACCTCCTAATGTTCAACGTGCGCGGTTGCGAAGAACGTAGCGCCCGAGCAAAGAGCAATGAGAGCTTAAAAGCGTTTCGAGAAAACTCCACGTTTCAAAAGTTCTCCGATTGAGAAACTCCAAATCAAAGTTTTATATCAGCTATAGCGGGGATAAGGAAACTCGCTTATTACGCATACTTTTTATTGCGTATAATTTAATTCTAAGGATTATCAAAGTATTCGGTGTTTTTAACAACAGCGAAAAGTGCCCTATCGTACGCACATGAAATAGTCAGGTTTTAATCGTAATGCGAAACGTGATTCGCACGCGCGAACAAACGGGCGAGCGTAAAACTCTAATGAAAAATTCCATCTGGACGGAAATCACCGCTCGACGAATAAGATGGACGGATAAGGACGACGTTTTATCGTACAAATGAAACAGGCGACAAAATAGGTTGCACCGGTCGGCGGGAGAATCCACGCGTTTCCATCCATTCTCTATCGTCCTCTTCTCTCTCTCTCTC